TGCCTCCTATTTAAGACGGGGCATTACATACGAAAAATATTTGATACAGTTAGAATGATACTAAAAAATACTAGTATGGTTTTAGCACAACAATAATATTTAATTTTAATATTAAACAAATTAAATTTGAAAAGAGAAAAATAATTTTTAAAAATCTAATGAGATAATAAATTACAAAGATTGAATTGAAATAAAACTAAATCAGAATGAGGAAAAATTGTAATTTTAACAATTTATTTATTTATTTTAAATCAAGTAAACTACAAAAACCAAAAAAGTTTTTGACCGGAAGAGACCGGAATAGGTTGGTTCGTTCTTTTGTTTGCACCGGTTTTGGACCACCATCCTTGGAACACGTCGAAACGGCGCCGCTTTCTCCTCCCCTAAATATCATCAGTTACACAAATAGCACTCAGCTCTCCTCTGCTTTCTTGCTCGCGTAGGTCACTTTACAGACACAAGCCCGCTTAAAACGACCAGAGAAGATTTTAACAGTGCAAGGGAAAAAAAAATCAGAAATGGCAAACAAAAACCCCAAAAAGGCCAACCTCTTAGATCACCACTCTATTAAGCATCTTCTTGACGAGTCCGTATCCGAAGTAATTCTCCTTTTCCCGAAAGGAATAAAAATGAAAAGCCCTAATTCTATCGATCTATAGTTTCCCTTTTTTTCAAAATATTGTTGATCGAGATTTTGTTTTGTTTGTACAGATCGTTAGCGGTAGGAGATATGTGGAGGACGTGCGGATGAGCAACGTGCGACTTTTGATGGGAGCGATCGTCATAGTCATCGCTCTCGTCGCGCAGTTTTACAAGAAGAAGTTCCCTGAGAACCGGGATTTTTTGATCGGCTGTATCGTATTATATCCTTTTTGCTTTGTTTGTTCATTTTCAAAATTAACATTCGGTTTCTTTCTGTTTGGTGGTGAGAGAAATGCATAAATTAGATGGGAATGGGTGATAGAGGATGCAATAAATTGAATTGAAAGTCCGTTTACCTACGTTTCTGTGTAGTTGCTGAGAAAATGGAGCAAAATTGGATGAGGAAAGGATGGTGAAGGACCTTATGGATTTTAAGTTTGTATAATATGGTTCATGAACAGTCTCTGTCTGGTTGCTAATTCCATGCATTTCGAAAGGAGTAGAATAGCAATAGGATACTAGTTATAATGAGAATGACACTTTAAATTTTCATGATTTTCCAATTAGGATGATTTTTCATTTTTAACTAGTGAAGCAGGAATTGAATTTAACATATCAGTGGAAGTGATTCAATCCTGAATCAAAATGTAAAAATTATACTCTAAGCTTATGTATCAAACAATTAAGTTCAAGGAGTATAGTGAAAATAGAATTTGAACAGAATGAAACAAGAATGAGGTGGTAGAATCCTGGAGTTGGTTATAGACGATTGATTTCACTTTCGTTTTAATATGATTTGGTTTTTAGAGCCTGGTACATTGAGGATATTGGGACTCTGGCCATGGACATGTGTTTCAAAATTTGTATTTCTTTCTTTTCTTCTTTTCTTCAATTTTACTTCTCAACGATTTGGACAGTTAGTTTTCAAATTTAGAGGTTAGTTTCTTATTTTAATTTCTTTCAATGTTTGTTCCTTGACTCTGGTACGTATATAGTTTTTAATGGACTATTGCAGCTGATCATATACAAAAAAGAAAAGAATGCAATCTTGTTCACTTATCCTCCCGAGGTGAGTTTCTCTGTTTTTTAATCAAACACTTTGGTACAGTAGCTACAATTTTGCAGTATAACATATTGACTTTTTCTTTATCCCTGTTTCAATGTGGCTGTGCTGTTGTATTCATGGTTTCTTAATCTGAGATAGTACAGGAATGCTCTGTATGTATTAGAATGTTAAAAATAAGTGGGATACTTGGAGATGAAACTATATACCATAAGCATGAATTCAGATCTCAGGGTTACGGGTACTGAAAAACTTTACTC